CGGTGTGCTGCGTTCGGCTGAAGAAGTCCATCCTCGCTGCCGCCAGGCCCTTTTGCGATGCGAACCTCCGAGTCAGTCGGCATATTATTGCTCGTACTCCGTCGCTCCTGTTGCCTCTTCATGCTCGATTGCTCTGTACTGCAGTTGTCCTTCCGTACCCAAGCAATGCTGAAGCAGGGCGACTTCTCGATCCACCGGCCAGTTCTGGGTTCCTCCGCGAGCTTTCAGGTAGATCTGAAATCCCGCAATCCAGTCTTCCCATTGAACTGCCGGTGACCCCTGTGCTGGCAGAAATGCCGGTGGTGCTGCGATTCCATCGTCCATCCTAGTCCGAGATCTTGACACTTTTGGTTCCGATGACTTTTGCACTGCACTTTACGTTTCTGCTCGTCACTCCTGTCGTCTGCGCCAATTTAGTATCGACCAACGACACTGTTTCGCCAGTTGACACAAGGTGCGTCCTCCTTTATTGAACCGTCTCTTTTATATCACTGATGCGAGGGCGTACAAGCCCCGCCCTCGTTGTCTCTCCATCGCTTAAGAGACCGAGAGCGTCGTCTGACGTCTCTCTGTTTACATCGAACACTACAGAGAGCCATGACGGTCCGGTGAGCCAGAAACGGCGCAGCTCCGGGGTGTCCAGTGGAGATCCTCTACTCTAAAAATCCGCCGGATTATCTTCCGATCGCACATAGCTGAACGAGCTCAAGTGGGTGATGGATCGAATTTCACGATTTCGGTTGGCCACGAACGGTTTCCAGCGTTCCGGTGAATCTCGCAACCAACCCAACACCGAGGAGTTGTCGGAATAAAGATACACCTTTGAGACACCCTCGACGATGTTTTCTGAGATGCGCCGCGCCAGTTTCGCTGCAATGAGTGCAGCCATGAGCTCTAGGCGATGAATCGTCCACCTGCCTTTTAAGGGGCCGACCCTGGCTTTCGCCATTAGGAACGACACCAGCGCTGGAGAAGAATCTGTGGGAATCTCCTTGAGATAGGCGACCGCTCCGTACGCTCTAAGTGAAGAGTCCGCGAAGACATGCAGTTCCCTTGACGCTCGCGACGGCTCGAAGCCGAACATGGGGCGAGAGATCTGAATTAGCGGCGCCACGCTGAGTTTCTCCACAGCAGAGAGATAGTCCGTCAGAACTTCTCCCTCCAGTCTCGTATCCCAGTCGAACTTCTTGGCCCACAAAACTCGCGTGAGTGTCTTGAAGTTTATGGATACGCAAGCCAGAAGCCCTGGGGGATCGTAGATTTGGCTCAAATTCCTGAGAAGATTTCTCTTCGTATGTGGGCCCTTGCTCAGAAACCCTTCGACCTCGGAAGTGTCGATGAACAGGGTGTCTGAGACCTGATTCCAGGAGACCCCCAGAAATTCGGAATTGGTCTGCTGACACAGAATTTCCGGGTTATCGTCCTTAGTCGCCCGTCTGATGAAATCCGCTATCTCCGGAACGTTAGTTTTCCACTTTCCGAGAGGAAAACCACCTTCCTTGAAGACTTGTATGAGACTCTCCACCTTCCGCTTGGCCTCATCCATCGAGTAGCTTCCGCAAGCGAAATCATCGATTTAAAAAGTGTTGGATATAACCCACTGGGGGTCAGTCGGCAGACTCTGGATCTGAAAGAGGCTGTGAGGCTGGAAGATCACGGCACAATAAAGAAGCAGGGATTCGGTGTGAATCAGTAACTCCTCGCGGTGTGAGTCTTTATTATCAGTATATATACCCTAGGGGAGAGCATCACTTGCGGAAGCAGATCTGAAGGCGGAAGTCCTTCAGATCTGGGTCGTTACGCATCTATTGTACTGAAGGCGGAAGTTCTTCAGAACAGGCTCGCTTGCAATTACAGATCTGAATACGGAAGTCATTCAGATCTGGGTCACGATAGATTGCCCGGATGCTACCCGTAATCACACTGAGAATGTTACAGCTACTTTACCGAAAACAGTCTGTATTTCAACAGAAAGTCGATTTAAGCTCGTTTAGGAGCTCCGCCAGATCTGGGCGCTTGGCCCGCTGGAGATCGAGGTGATGCCTTACGCCGGCGCAGTGCAGCCAAGGACTGCACACCAAACCGAAATCCAGGACAGTTGCCCAGAACTCTTGTACCGGGGTGCTGTCGATCGGGACACGCCGAGCGGCCAATGGAGCCTTAAGAAGGTACTGTGTTTTTCATTGATCAGGAATTGGTTAAATGCTGCTTTTATATCCGCTACGATCGCTATAGGCTTTCGTCGGAATTGGAGGAATACGGCCAACAAATCAGGCAAATAATTCGGGCCTTTTTCCAACACGTCATTGAGAGACGCCGCGTCCGCTGACCGCGCCCCTCCGTCCTCAACCAAACGAATCTTCAGTTCCTGCGAGCCGAGGGTTTTTCTTTGCTACCGCAAGAATCGGTAGGTAGTATGCCATTTCTCCGGCTTTTCTCGGAGCTGCGGGTTCGACATAGCCTGAATTGACCAGTTTAGAGATTTCGTCGTCTACTGCTTTGAGAACGTTCGGATTCTCGTTTAGAAACTTCAGGAGGCCCATGAGACGGGAATACGCTAGTTTCTGATTATCCCCCAGGATGTGGATGTTTTCTCTAAAAGGGAGGGAAACTATGAATCTGCCCTCGGGGATGGTCTTTATCGACTCCTAGAGAAAGGTTTCCATGGCCTCCAAAGAATTTCTGTCCTCGTCGGGAGTAGAGTGCTCCACGCCGAGGAATTCTGTATCCCAAAGAAAATCGAAGTTATCTCGTTTGGTCTTGGACGAAAGCGGCGATGCCGCGGGATCGATGTAGCCGTCGCTGGGGAGAACGCAGGCTAGCGACGTGGTAACTGAGCTGCCAACTGCGTTTGCCCGATCGCTCCCCCACAACACCCAACCGAGAATGATAGGGGATGCGGTGAGGTGCCCTACCCTCCGATACATTCCGTCATAACTCGAGAGGAGAGCGTCAGCTCCAATTAGGACCTCAATGATTTCAGGAATCCCGGGTTGCTTGACATCCGCCCATTGAAGGTCCAACTGTGGGAACTTAGCTCTGGGAAGGATGCCCTTGATTACTGTAGGCACAGCAAGGCAGCCGATGGTCGTGCTACGACCTGAGAAGCGACTCCTGACCGTGAGCCGCACCGTGTTTAGATCCAACTCTTGAGAGACCCCGCCTGCGACTCCATGTACCCGCAACGAGACGTTACCGCCCGCTTTCGCGCCGAGTCGCTTGACTACTTGATTGGAAACGAAAGATCGTTGAGAACCCGGGTCTAAGATCGCCCGTCAGATTATCATTCTTTCACCGTTGTTTTCGACCCAGATGTAGGCCGTTTGCAAGAGAGACTCCGGATCCTGAGAGGACACCGGTCGGCAATTACACGAGACGCTATTTGAGGCTGGAGTCGGGGGCGTCTTTGACGACGCCGGAGAAGACACGCAAACTAGAGTATGGTGCCTGCCCTTGCACTTCGCGCAGTTGCTCGCATGTGCTCTACATTTCTTGCTATTATGGGTTTTCCTGAGGCATCTCAGACACGCATTTTGCTCATCTAGCATTCTACGCCTTTCCTCTGCCGACCTAGCTTTCGGACACCTGGAGCTGGAGTGATTACTAGCGCAGAATATGCAGACAGGCTCCGGGAAGTGCCCGGCGAACGAAAACTGATTTTTCGGATTGTAGGGATTGCGGTGGTTCGAGTGAGACTCGTTTCTGCCAAAATGAGATTTGCCGTTGCCTTTCTGCTGACCGTGAGACGGTTTTTCTGACTCCGAGAAGCGAAGGAGTTCTTTGCTTTCATCTAGCGCCGCTGCTTGATCTTCCAAGAGCTTCATCAGGACCTCCAGCTCCACTGCGTCCGCTGTACACTTAGTCGGGAAAACCAAGTGAAGCTTGTTGCGGTATCTCTCCGGAAGGGCCTTGAGAATCAAGGGGGAGAGCACAATTGATAGACTAACATACGTGCTGCCTAGCGAAACTAACGCGTGGATGTTTTGTGCTAGCCCTGAAACGAACTCTACGAACTTATCTTTTCTGTCGAGGTTCCTTGCTGCGAACAGGTTGTAGATCTGATGCATGTGGGCGTTCGAGGCCTGGCGTGAGTCACCGAAGTTGCTCTGAATCGTCTGCTTCATTAGCCCGTAGCACTCGGCGCTGATCTGGATGTAGGTGACCTTCTTCGCAGCGTCACCCGTGAGCGCGTGCTTGAAGATTCGGCATTTTTCCATGGCGTCGATGTTTTGCGAGTCCACGTATGAGATGAAGATATGCCACCATTCTTTGAACTTGGTCGGATCCCCATTGAACTTGGGGACCATGGCCTGCAAATCTCGACCCGTCCAACCTGGGACGCCGTGCGAGGTTAGGTCGCAACCGGGCTGCGGAGCAGCGGTCGCATCATACTGACCTGCCTCCGGGTGTATCGGAGACTCGCTCTGACTCGTACCTGAAGCCTGATTGGAACCCTCGTCGTTGATGGATACCTGTTGGAGCTGGTTTTCCAGTGCAACTGGACTGCTGGCTTCTGGCGAGGCTAACAGTTTAGAGGGTGACGAAGACGAGCCATCGATGAGAATCTCAATTGCGGTGACGACGTCCTGAAGCCTGTCCGCCGCGTCCTTTGCTGCTGCTTCAGTGTTGAGTGTGGGCTGTGTTTCGTTTTCATGGTCAACTTCAGCATTTTCTTGTTCGTCTTCGTGTTCTGAGGACGTGTGTCTTTCTGAACCCTCATTGGATGCAAACAACGTAGGCTTCTCAAAGACAACTTGGTGTTTATGATCGTCTGAGTTTCTGGCATCCAGAGTCTGTATCCGAGGCCATGATCTAAGTATCCGATAAGTCTACCCGGATCGCCTCGACGCTCAAACTTTCGCAGTTTCGGTGGTTGTTTTCTCACGTAGCATTCCATGCCGAATGATTGGAGTTTTCCAATGTATGGTTTCTTCTTATATATGATTTCATATGCTGACTTGTTCAGCTCTTTATGTATGGATACGATGTTCAATATATCCACACAGTAGCTGACACATTCAGCCAAGAGGTACTTTTTATGCTCAATACCGGCACTAATTAAAACGGATCAGTTACGAACTCCGCGGTCGGAGTCCGTAGGAAGAGTCTTGACACAGAAAGAGGACACGATACTTCTGGTTCAGAAATCGGAGGCGCTCGTGCCTCACGTAGGAGAGGCCTCACATTAGGAATACTCTCTCCCTATTTTCTGGTGAAGGTATATATACAGGTACTGATCACTTAAATAAACACTGGGTTCTCAGCTCTCAAGCTGAAACTGTGGCTGTGTAGTAAAGGTCTCTTCATTGAACGTTGGTGTCCTCAGTGAGTACGGCCATTGAAAAGGTCCCACAATCTCTTCACGTTATCAGCACGATAAGCACTAGGACCAGGGGCGTTCCCAGGAATTTTTTTTGGGGGGGGCAGACTAGGTTTTCGGGGGGCCAGAGATCCAAAATGATGAGGTTCCCTGTACTCCTGCATTACGCAAAAAGAATTTTTGGGGGGGGGCATGGCCCCCCCCTTGGTACGCCACTGACTAGGACTGAGCAAAGGTGTGAGTACCAACCCGAATATCCAGAGACTTAAATATACCAAGTTAAAGATGTCAGAAGCTGACGCAGCGGACAAAAAGCCGGACAAGAAGCCAGAGGTTCCCCCAACCAGTTCAACATCATCAGCGGATAGCGAAGGCTATAAACCTCCAACGTGCCCAGTCACGCTAGATGAGAACGGTTACAACTACAACAATTGGAAGTCCCTGGTTATTGTGTTTCTCACCAATGAAGCCGATGTTTGGAATGTAATCAAAGGAACTCTGGTACGCCCGGAAGTCGAATCCGGCAAGACGCCAACCGAAGAGCAAAAGAAAACGATACTTTTTCGATACTAACGATGAAGGAAATAGGTTTAGAATTTTGATAGATGACTGAGGATACTCTTCAGTATCGGAGATCGTGAGATGGCACTTCTGGAGCACACCACAGTTGAATAAGAACAGCAGGAGTTGACGAAGCAAATATGACTGAATCCTGTCAGTATTTTATTGAGGGAATCACTGAGTCTTATATACAGCAGAAGAGAAAGGACGCATTTTGTATTTTCTGTATAATCTATAAAACCACGTGTTTCCCTATATCGAATGTTTTAAATAAGGCCGGGCTAGTGGGTTGTAATACAGCCGAGTAGGTTGAGTAGCTAAGAAAGGCAAGGCAAGAGTGGGAAAGAAACCTTGGATAGAAAATTAGTCAGAAATTCTATCATTCTCTCCCTTTTTCCACTCTTCTATTATCTTGCGGGTTAATTCGACCTTCTTATCTGAAACGGGCAGAAGAAGTAAGTGTATAGGGCATAATTGGCGCTGCTGAACTTCCGGGTAGAAGTTGCAGTTTACCTCCTCAGAGTATATAAGGAGGGGCTGCAGAGCCCCCTCTTTGCGTTTGCCACAGAGACCAAGGTCTCCGGGTCGTTCTTAGTCAGAGAAAACTCCAGCGCCGAAGGTTCACGAAGTTAAACCGCGAGCGTAAGTCCCCTCTTTTTTTTTTT